AAAAATTTGACTGCCGCAAAAGGGTGTGGTCCAAAGGTAAATAGCAAAAAGGGGCGTGGTCAAAACCCATTTGCGCATGCGCAATGTAAAGTGGTTAAATAGTGGCGTTGCTTGCATGTAAATATTTTATGTTATTCAAGGAAACTATAAAACAACATTCTCTTAAGTAATTCTTCACTGCCAATTATGACTCTTCACTGCCTACTTCTTTTACAGTTACAAAGGTTAGCATGGTTAATAATAGGGTTTGGTTGATATCAAATCTGCATTGATTCTATATCTTGCTAATGCACAGGAAACTTCTGTCAAAAAAATTCACCAGCTTGTCTCTGGATGAATTTACACCAATTCTTAGATAAAAAATGTCCAAAGGCAGGCAAATTGCATAATATTAAGCTTTAGAATATTGAAACCATGGGTAACTATTAAGCCAAGAGAATGAAAAACTTTCTTTTTTCCTAAATTTGGAAGGAACTCTAAAATTTGCATCTGGTTCCCAGGCATTGTTAAAGAGGTCCTACTACTGAGCTGCTCCAACAAGTTCAACTTGTCCAAAAAACCACTATCAGAATAATTTGAAACAGCAATTTCAATTCATTTTCTGTTTTGAGATTTTATGGTTCAGTTTATGAAAGGAAACAGAACTCTCTTTAGGAGTATGAAGGTCTAAGTGAGAAGGCTTGAATATGGCTTCTTCTCATCCTAAAGCTACAACAGTTAGACTTTACATTTGCACTTGAATCTTAAAAACTAGTCTTTGCACTACCAGAACTTATAAAACATTGTCACCATCAAAAACTGAACAAAGATAACATTCTATCAAAATAGAATTTTATATAGACTTCTGATATCTTTTTTCAGTCATGCCAATAACCTCTAGATACATGGTGTTTTGATCAAGCTTTGCAGACAGGGTGTAAGTTATTTGATGTTGCTATGTTAAGCACCTCAAATGTTTGACAGTTTAAAAGCATATCAATAAGCCTATGGGTCTGGTCTGTTGCCAGCAAAGAAACAAAATTGTGAAAGAATGCACTGAAGGTTGCATACAGATAAAGCTCTGCTATAAAATGCCCTAAGTAATTGATATTTTTTCATACTAAGTTACTTCCATAGATAAAGATTATACAGACAGTTAACATTACAGACATCAAAGAATAAAGTATTTTTCAAATATTTATTTGGGAGTCATTCAGATACACAAATTCTATTTCTCTTAAGTTTATTTGTCTTTTTAAAGGCATTTTCTCCAAAATATCTCAAAAAGCAACCAAGGGCATCCAGAGAGGACAAGATAAGCTAATTTCATAACGATAAATAGCAATTCAATAATCCTTACTACAATAACACATATTTGCCAATCAGGTGATAGCTATGCCAAGTTATTAGAAATAAAAGCACTGCTTAACATTTACTTCTGAAAAAAGAAAAACATTCATCGGACTGTAATGTTATGTTTTTAGTTTTTAAGTCTAACAGCAACAGCTTTCCCAAATTGAAAGATCTCTGATACATTTGTGTCTGCTGTGTCATAACATAACATAACATAACATAACATAACATAACATAACATAACATAACATAACATAACATAACATAACATAACATAACATAACATAACATAACATAAACATAACATAACATAACATAACATATAACATAATATAGCACACAAAATTAGAAAAAAAAACCCAGCATGCTCTGATGCAATGTTTGAAACAAATCGAAATTGAAGTTAAAAAAATTTATAGAGAAAGTTAGGCTAGCTATTTCCCCTGGAACCTCCACAGAATTTTTGAAACCAGATTTTCTATGTGTATTAAATACTTGTGTCTGTAAACTTATAAAATACTTATTAAATACTCTGTCTATTATTTTTAAATTTACATTGTCATGATTCGAGTCAATTTGATCAAACAAATAATATTTTTTCTATACTTTATGTTGTATTGGGAAAGAATTGACAATGCTAACTGACTCTGATAATATACACATTTTATGCGATAAAAAACAGAGTTTTTTGGCAATCATATTGTTATTAAATAACAAAGAACATTATTCAAATACGTCTAAATTAAAAGAAACCGAACGTTAACAAGAATGAAGCATAAATAACAATGTTTCAAAAACGTTTTCTTCAATAATAATTCACCTCCAAAGAAAAAAGTTTGTTCTCTATAGAACTTTTAACCAAGTAGGCCTAGCTCCGATATTTTAGCTGCAGAGATAGAAGCAGAATTTCCAAGTCTTTTAAGCTTAATATTGCTAAGGTCATGCATGAAGCTTCCAATATTCAAGTCTCTGACAGAACTTAACCTTTTTCAGGATATCCTTTCCCCTTCACAGCTTTATTTTCCTGTCTGTCAAAATCACGGTACAAGAGTGAAATGAGGCTGCTAATCGTCTTCATGATCACCGCACTGATCTAGTGGATCACCTACGTATGACAAGTATCACCCTGATATCAAATGCGGCATTCTGCGGCACCTCAAGATTCCAAATAACCATACGCTGAGCCCACCCCACATATTTTGCATATACAAAAATTTCTCATACATCTCATCGATGCCGCAAGGAGAACAATAAAAATGACGTAGGGTCTCAAAAACGATTGTTTAAAACTGCGCGGGCATCAAAAATTAGTATGCGAAATGCCGCAAAATATAATTTATGTCAAATCATCTGAGGCAGGGAAGAGGATCACATAATCGCAGGGAAAGAATCACTTATTCGATCAATATGAGGCGAAGCAAAGATGCAAAGTAGGGTCTCACAACGACAGGGAGGGCATGAGTCATTAACAAAAAAATCAAAGGATGTATATAGTGGAATTTGAAATAAATGAAACTGAAACTGAAGTGTTTGGCGAAATTTAAATGTTTCAGTCTTTGTCAGCGGCAGATGACTGCCTTGCGTAAGGCAGTTGCGGCACCTTAGATCCGCCCCTGTTTTGAACAAGGGAATTTGGCTGAAGGGACTTCACTTCTGTATAAGGGGTTGCCAATCTGGTATTTCTAGACAAAACAAGTTCAGAAAATGAAAGCAGCTAACAACAGTTGAAGCAAGGAAGGAGAAAGGAAAGGTTGAGATTCAGATGATAACTCCTTGTACATGAACTGTGAAAGTAAAACGTAAAACGATAGGTTATTGTTTTTTGATCAAATCTTTTAGCATAAAGGTGACAGCCTAACACAGGCGTGGTGTCTACAGCAAACTAGATTGGCCTTCCAACTTCTCAAATCCCAATTTTCTCAGAAACCTCGTTCCCTTAAAGGCGATTCCACAGTAATTTGTTAGGTTGTTTGGTTATCACGAGAAGAATGTGGTGACACGCCCACTGCTTTTCCAAGTAAAGTAACTTGATACAATAACAGAAGGCAAACAGATTTGATTCATTAGGCTAAAACAAAAGAATAATTTGAATTAAAGGATCTCTTAGAGCCTATTGGTGTGGTGAATACAACGTTTACGAAAAGTTTAAGCTGGATTGTTTCTTTTTTTTTAATTTATGTGGTGTTAGCAGTGCAGTTGCTAACTAGTGTGCTGTAGGGGGTGCTCAAGTCTTGTTTTCCCACGAAGTGAACAAGACATCCTTTTTTGAGACAAGTTTGACAATTCACTTTTGAGATGAAGCTACTTACTTTTGAGATGAAGTTTTTTAAGGAGATTTCACAACTTTGCTCAAAATCCCGGCTTACCGTAGCTCAACCACAGCTTGCTTTTAATTTCTTCGCACCCTTTGACTTATTTTAAGGCTCGTGTTCTTATCAAATTGTTCTTATAAAAAGGGAGTGTATGTGTAAGAAGCGAAAATTTGCAACTTTGATAAGAAAGGATTCGATTCTGTACTTGGCCGCGGTGTCGAAGATGGCATTGTTCTTGTTGATGTTTTACAAAATCATACTTTGTGCCAGTCAATCTTTCTAAATAAAGAAATAATCAACAGATGCCTTTTTATTCTTTTTCGTCAAACAGACATGGAAAACTGCTACAATTTACTTTGTGACTGAGGAATAAGACCCTTAGAAATGCTAGTGGCCTTACTTCCTCTTTGCAGCAGGAAAGGTATTATCTTTGGCAGCAGATATCCTTGAAATTCAGTTCAAATTTGAGATTGGGTCTAGATTGTATCGTATTGTATTGTATTGCATTGCATTGCATTGCATTGCTTTGCATTGCATTGCATTGCATTGCATTGCATTGCATTGCATTGCATTGTATTGCATTGCTTTGCATTGTATTGTATTGCATTGCATTGTATTGTATTGTAGATCATTTAATATTCGTTTTTACAATAGTGAATATACACTAATTAAGACTAACATGAAGCAATTTTAAGAATTGCATAAGACAGTTCATTTACTGCAAAATGAGCATGCGCACTTGTTTTCAAGGAACCAAGTTTTGATCAAATTTTTAAATTGTCTAGTATTTTGTGCAGTCTTGATTGATTCCGGGAGTGAATTCCAGATTTTAGGCCCTTGAAAACTAGATCTACATAAATACTGTTTGAGAAAACCAATTCATTGTTTTATTCGAAACCCTCTGATGAACCCCCCCCCCCCCCACTTCCATGGTCTTTGTGAGTGATTGTTCCTTTTCCCTCCTCAGGTGTTTTCCTTTACATATGTTTGTTTAAAACTCATATCGAAATTTCAAATTTCGTATTCAAATTGAAGACACAAAAAACGTTCTTCTGGACTTTCTGCGCTTTTGTTGAAGTTAGTGCAGTTTTCTCCTCCTCAAGAGAAAACTGCCTAAAACAAGTGTTTTAGTCCAAATCTTAAAATCTCCCGTGCAAATTGCTATTCATGTTTACTAATTATATACTTCCACGTTCGCAATCAAATATCGTTTTGATTTTCCCAGCCAGATCCTGGAAATGACCTCATCGAGTTCCTCTCCACCAAACGCTTTGTTTTACCCAGAATGTCCTGCCCTGTTCTGTTACCCGGCCTTTGCCATGTGACTTGATTGAGGATTAGTGCGTGTAAGGACTATTTTTAACTTGAACTGAGAAATGGGGAAGTCCCGAGCCTATCGAGGAAACTGATGGGCTCTTCCATTCAGTGATATAAAGCTTGGAATAAGACTTACTCTTGCATATTTTGAAGAAGTGTGTTAAGAGAGCACATCGGCGTACTTGTTGGTCTAGGAAGCAGGTTTGAAAAGTTAGCGTGGTAAGAGAACTTACAGACAGCGAACAGAAAGAAGAAGAACTAGTTCCTCTACAAACAAGGTCAGTGAAGCATTTACATTCACGTCCATTCTTGCAGTAGCGGATCTATCGAGAGGCTGAATATTTTGATTTTAAAATTTTACGCTTTAGCGAAATGTTTAAGACAATTTTGCTTTTCCTATGCATTATCTTTTTCACAGAGCTGAGCAGGCCTTGATCAGAAACAACAATAATTTTGAAGTCCAATATGATCACAGGCAAACATTGGTTTGATGTTCTTGAATTAAAGATTTCGTTAACGTAATACTTTTCTTGAAAGATGCCAAATTTTGTGAAGTGGTTTGAGATATTAAACCAAAAAGCATATCTGAGAATCATTATATAATGAATACTGAATCATTATATTTTAGAATTTATTTTGGGGCTTTGAAAAGGTGGTTTTTGTCTTTGATAGGGAAATTTAAATTTGAATCTATTGGCTATGCTTTAAATTTAAATTTGAATACATCAAGATTTAGGAAAAGTCAGATATTAAAGGTTGTAATAGAATATTTGGAAATAGCCATGGGCACAGCCAAAGGGTAAAAAGTGGGGGCAAGGGAAAATTGAACACCCACAACAAAAGATTTTATAAAATGCTCTATTGTCTTGCAAAAAACTGGAGGGGCCATGGCCCCCCGGCCCCCCTTCATCAGAGGCCCTGATAACTGAAAGAGGCCCAGGCAAGATGCTAATTTTCTTATATTTTAAGGGAGCTAAATTTTGCAAGCTGTATATAAGACATCATTTTGCACAATTTTTCAGAGAAGTACACCCCATACCCCCATTTTCCAGGCCTTTTATAGGCAACTGCATAGTTTTATAAAGGAGAACTCATTTTCTTAGTGTTCTCCACGAACTGCATTTACTTTTCATAATATTATTGGCATTCCTTGCTTATGGCTTTTTAGTATCAGTATTTAAACAGAAAGGAAGCATGTTCAGTTGTTCACAACAAAATTCTACTTATATGTCTCAAGATCAACTCTCATTGATGCTGTTTCATTGAAACTAGTTAAATCAGTCGCATAGCCAGAGTGAATAAATCGGTTGGGCTGGCACTCATGAAATTATCTTAGGACACGCCCTTTTCTTTGGCATAGAGACAATTGCCCCACTACACCATAGTGGTCAAGAAACCTATCCAGAAAAATAATTTTGGCACATTAGAGTCACCTTCTTGGGTTTCATGTGTTTCCTTCCTCTAATGACCATGTGACTTCATTACCAAGAAAGGAAAACCTCGAATTCAGTTTGAATTCAAATCTTCTTTGATTTAGGATTCTTCAGAATTCAAGAATTATTACACGATGGAGGATGTACGTAATGGAGAGCGCTTAAAAATGCGACATTGGTTGAAGAAAGTTATTGATAGTGGGGAATACCATGGAGTAGAGTGGACTGACAGAGATGCAGGCAAATTCCGCGTGCCCTGGAAGCATGCCTCGAGACATGGATGGGACATAGACCGAGACGCAAGCATTTTCAAGATGTGGGCGGTGTACACTGGGAAGTATTCGAAGGAAACAAGCAACCTAAGCGAAAAACAGAAGAGAGCACTTGCAAAGCACTGGAAGGCAAATTTTCGATGTGCTTTGAATGCATTGAATGATATCGAAGTTGTGCACAAGGAGGGGAAAACAAAAGGACGCGATGCGTACAAAGTTTTTAGGCTTCTTCCGCAGTGCAGGACGAAAAGCAAAATTACTAAAATTCGATCGAATTCAACCGGTAAGCCAGATTCCTTCTGTTTAAATAAATCAATTGCCAATATATGTCAGTTAGTTGTGTTGATAAAAGTCATGGTCCTCTTTTAATTTCAAATTTTCATTCTCCAGTGTTAATCATTGTGGTAAGTTTCATTTCCAAATTATTTATCGCTAACGCATTTCGTTTGATGATTTTCGTTTCAAAAACAAAAAGTCTTATATAAAATATACACGTTACAACTTATCACTGTTTATTCATTTTACCAGGCTCTGTGGATGAAAAGGAGCCGATGATAACACGGGGTCTGCATCGGGTAAGTAAGCTTGACCCATGTCCTCGCAGTATAAATGCCATTTTCCCCATACCAGTCGTTTCTATAAATCGTTTATTACATACGAATTATTCCCAAAAGTATGTAGTTTATACTTTCTTTACCAATTTCTTTATCTCCACGAGAGAACCTGCTATTTCTAGTTGATTCGTCTGTTGTAAATACCGCTATGTGTTCTTAGTTCTTAGAAACAATTATATCATATGATGTAAGGGAGATTCCCCAAAGTACTTCCTCTTTGTAAAACCAAAATGAATCGGAGGCCACGGACCAAATCAAGAAAAGGAAGTTAGTTATAATTGCGTTGAATATAATATATATTTTGATTGTTAAAGGCCAGACCAAAAATTTCAAGAGTATCACTCTTCTTATCTCTTCTCGAAAAAGTGGTCGTGGGGGGGGTTAATGTGCATGTCAGTTAAAGATGGCTTGTTAAAGCCGGGCCTGCACCAATTGGAGAAGATGCCACGACCCTCCAACTTTTTTGCTAAATTAAAGATGTAAGTTTGCCGATATTTTCATACTAAAAAGGCTGTACATTAAAGCAAATAAATTGAGCCAAAATCCACGAGTAAAAAAATGCAAGCAAAAATTTTGCCAAAAAGAGAGCTAGCAGGGGTCTAAGAGGACAATTTATTTACATTAATGCACCCTAGTTAAAGACTCATTGCTAACAGTGAGCCATTGCGCTACGTAAGCATCCCATAATGCATTTTTAGACAGTCTGAAATCAATTTTGGTTAATTCCAATTTTCAGCTAACAGGGTTTTGATTTCCCTACAGACCAAATCTGCTCCAGTTTATCAACCTACTCTCATGGAAAGTGATGAACAAGAATTTTCAAGCCAGATGTTGCATTTGAACAGTGGTACGCTAACATTAACTCTGTTATGATCACGTGTTCAGAGAGCGTTTCATTGTGCTGTAACTAAAAGCAAAAAAACAATTGCTTCTCAAGTATCAAAAATGCTCAAAAAGACAACTTTTATCACTTAAAATTATGATCGAATTATTTGTGATCTACCAATTTATGTATTTCAGTAAATTGCAGAAAATTACCTTTGTAGGGATTGTGAGGCCATGGCTTTTTAGTCTTCGTTGGGTGCTGTCACAATGAACTATGAACATTCTGTCAAGTGATCACACTGCTTATTGTTAGGGAAACTAACCACATGTATTTCATAATCATATACTTTTAATTAGTAATTGTGTTAAAATTTTTTTTTAGATCATACGTATTCCCAAGTGAAATCTGAAGAGCAATCAATTGATATTTCTCAAGCAGAAGATGCCACTCAGTTCTACCCACTTACTGTAAGCAGTTATGATAGAGCCTAATATTTTTTTCAAAATAAAAAAAAACTACTGTACCGTAGAGAATTTAGAGAATGATTTTACTTGTAGTATAAAGTAGAGAATGATTTTAAAGCTTCAATTTCAAGATTCTGATTGTAAGTAACTCCTTTTTAACAGGGCCCTTATTGATAACAGCACCTTTGTTGCTGAAAAAGCAACCCTGTATGAATAATTATATTATTATTATTATCATTATTATTACCCTCTTCTTTTCTCCCCCTGCTCTTTCTTAAATCAAGAACTCTCACCCTTCTTTATACAGACAAAGGGGGGGGGGAATACAGAAGGAGATCTTAAATATATATAGATAGTATCTCTGTTTTACGTTTGTTTTCAGCTGCACTAGCTTCCTTTGCTCAAACCCTCGGTTCTTTCTTTCTTTCACAGAATTCTCTCAATAATTACCAATTTGGAGATCTGGAATTGTCTCCAAGCAGTAACTGCAGCTCAGATTCCTGCTCTAGCGATGTCTCCAAGCTCGTCGAGGTTGGTTTAATTTTTTTCTTTTTTTGTACTTGTAATCGTTAAGTAGGTAAAAGACATCTTTAAATATTCAGACGGGCGGGCAACTGCCCCACCAGAACCAACTTGCTGCCCTACTACTGAATAGGAAAGCAGCTGGTTTGTCCCATAACTGGCAGCCTCTTTGACCTAGCATCCAATCTTTTTATAAAGCACGCTTAGAACATAGGCCCCTTTAATGGTTTGTCCCATCACTGGTTGCCTCCTTGACCTAGCATCCAATCTTTTTATAAAGCACGCTTAGAACATAGGCCCCTTTAATGGTTTGCTTCAGCCAGTCAAAACTCCTCAGTCAATGCTCTGAATATGAAAAATTATTGATCTTTGAGCTAATTGCCCGATAATTGCAATAAGCGTGAAACTTGGAGTAGCAACTTAGAACCGCCCTGTTCTATAAACAAAATAGCGTTGATCTGTGAACCAAATAGACACTGTTCGTTATCTCAAAACGTTAACTTTTGATTCAAGAATTTTATGGTCAAATGCTATCATTTTTCAATTTCGGTCTGATGATCGAATGAATACTATCTACAACGAGGATTATAAATGTTTAACGCTAGTTTTCTTTCTGTATACAAAACAAAAAGTATTGAATTATCAAGTTCAAAAGTTTGAGAATCTCTCAATTGTCCTAGGCCTGAGTGAATTTCATTTTCTTTTCTTTTCAGCTTCTTAGCCCTAGTGTTTGCAGTCAGGATAGTTCACAAGATATCAGCGAAAAAATAGGAGCTGGTAAGTGCTTCACTTTGTAAACTTGCCTTTATTTTCGTATTTTTCTTATTTTTTGTCTGCGCCTGATTTTTCTGCTGCTACTTCAAGTGGGGAAATTCAGTGTTCCCACTTATAACCAACGCTATATATGTTTGATATCGGGGCTGACAATCAGTTTTCAAGAATCCTCAGTCAACTATAATTTTATGCATATGTGGTAATCATAGGTAGAGGTTATCACAGGGGCCAGAAACTCAAGCCGAGTAGGATTGGTCCAATTCGGCAGTCCTAAGTTTAAGTTTTCTGGCGACTGGTCTTATGAAACAACGTTGCAAAGAACCCCCCCCCCCCTTCCACTTGCCCATCGAAGCTGTAATTGCGCCAACGTGACTTCAAACCTTTGGAAGAATGAAACTATGCTTGTAAAACTAATGCTATGCTGATGTACATTATGCTATTCTTGGTGGATTAAAAACCATTATATTCTAATCAAGGTGAAAATAAAATTTATAAATATTTCGCATTTTCAACGAGGTAAAGCGATAAAATTTCAGAGGCCGCAATCCTACGATGATATCGTGAAATCTGCAAAGAGCAGTTGAAAACAGTGCCGCAAATCTGCAACTCCCCCAATCGCCCAAAAGCTATAGCAAGTGGATATCGCTAAAAAGCCTTAACCCAAAACATCAAACATACAATGTTTTTTATATGTAATATTTCTGTTACAAGTATAAGCAAAATTAGAAGTTGCTTCAAGTATGAATACCATAAAATGTTATAGGTATCATAAACTTAGCTCAACCCTTGATTTCCTTGGTGGCGATTTCCCTAATGTATGCGTAAGACATTATTGCATTATAATTGCGAAGAATCATCTCTAAATAAATCTTCAGAGCGTTCATAGGTCTGATAATTTATATTCTCTTTCAGTTTTAACAGAATTAGTAAACAGCAGTGCTGCGTTCAGCTATGAACAAGATTCACTCTCAACCGGAGTGTCAAGCAAATCCCAATATTTAAGGCAAGACATCTTCTTTTCTCCTCCAAGCTACGATTTTCAGGATTATTCGTTGTCATTACCTTATTGAACTCAAAGAAATGCAGTGCATCAGTTGGAAGGACAATACAATGACATCATAGAGAGTAAAGATATTTGAAATGTTAAGGCATTTATCATGTCTTATTGTAGATACCTATTTATCTCCTCCTGGCTAATGACTTTTGTTCCAAGGTCTTGTCAGAGTTACAAGTAATCGACAGATATAGAAATGGCTTAAGCAATCTGTCAATCAATATTAGCCAATCAATGAGCGTAAAAGTGGAATCACAGTCACTGATTGGTCAATTTCTTATTAAAAGATGACTTGACCCCCTTCAGTATCTGGCGATTGCCTTAAAAGTATTAAACAAGACAGAACGAGAAACAAACGACAAAGAAAGCATATAAAAACAGAAATCGTAACAATATGTAGATCATACTTAGAATACATGGCAAGAGAGAGATTCCTGTCGGTCTACCAAGTAGATTCCCTGGGCCTGCGATATTGCTCTGACTTGGCGTTGCCATCTGTAAAGTTGTAAAAACAAAGTGCATTTTGTATCATAAACTATCAGTAACAGCTAACGATTTTACCAAATCCTTTTTGCAAAATGTTGCATTTGCCATAAACATTTCTATTTATGTATTGTTTTAAAGGATACATTTACCATAAAACTTCCCCATACACAAGCACCTTAAACAGGATTGGGACGACAAAGAAGTTATAACAACAACCTCTATTTGAAATTTTTCAATGAGTAGAAATTATTAGACAAAATCATAGTATTTTATTTTTTTCTCCATAGAACATAACTTAAAAGATTGTTAGTAAATCTGAATATATATCGTGTCAAAGAAGAGGTTGTGTTGCACGCAACTTTCCTTATGTAAATGGTCCTTAGATTAGTTTCTTTGTCAATGAAAACACCTTTCTGTATTATCTATTATCAATAATTTGTAGACTTTGTTTTAAATGTTGTAAACATGGCTGTACGTAGTTTTAGTTTTTATATGACATATCTATCACTTTTAGAAAGTATTCTTATCATAAGTGATATGCTTTTTGCTAAAAGGGTGTTGTATTCTGGAAAGAGCTAAATATAAGAAGTATGCTTCAGTAAGTTCATTATAATTTAAAGATAAATGAAATAGATCGGCAGCAATCATCATGGATTCCGACACAGTTTGGATTTTGTGGGGGGGTTGGAGAGAGAATTCAACATCTATAACAAAATGTTTTAAAAAGCTTTATTGTTTTCCCAAAAGTTGGGGCATGACCATCTTTGTAGGAGGCCCTAAACACTGCTTGCTCTTAAAATCACATTAAATCTATCAAAATAGAATATATCCTGATGTATTGAAAACTTGTAGCAAGAGATGTGATTCCATGCCAACTTTTTGAAAAGATTCTATTAGCTGTGTAATATATTGGTTTGGAAGGAGGAGGGTGGTTGTTCAAATGCAAAGTTTCTATTCACAGCAGCAAGTTTATATCTTTTGCTTACAGATAAAATATTTCTTCTTCACATCTCTACCAAATTTGAAAATATTCAGAGATTCTTATTGAATTAGTCTGGGCTTCTAAAACGCGAGTGGCAAATGAGTGGCTTCATTTGTTGTTTTAATTATTTCTCTAACATTTCGCCTTTTTGTATATTGAATTAAGTGACAATCACTGACTTTAAAATGGCTGTCTTGGATTGTCCAGTACTAGAAGTGAGCTGTGTGTTTCACGAATCTCGTCGACGAACCTCATTGTCTTAAGTTGCTTCTTTTCGGATTGGCCGGAACTAAACAAAAGCCTTGCAAAAAAAATAACCAGGTGTCCCAAGATGATACAGTGTAAAAGAAAGATCATCCAAAGGTGTTCTTCTTCGTGCATGTGATGTGCTTGGCTGCCGTTGATTTGTTCTTCCTCGGCTTCGTTCAAAATGACACATGCTTAAACTTTGTTTGGACAATATTAGCAAAACATTTTCGGTTGAGGTTGCACTGTTTGTGCCAAAAGCTGTTTGCATATTTCTTCGGAATTTGATGACTTTCTAGCTGCTTTTTGTACAAAGGTTAGTTTATGACAGTTTTGGTTTTATGTTCACCTGTGCTTTAATTTATCATATGCAACTTTATTTACGTTTTCGCCAAAGCTGTCCTTTGAATAAGAAAATATGTTTACTTTGTCCTTACTGCAAATTACTATCCTTCTGTAAAATAAGAAGCCTGTCTTTTACTCAGTCTGGAGCTTTCTCTCTGCTCTGGAGAAAGAAGAAATTGTCTTGTCTTTGGTTATGTCAACTTTTTCAGAAAGTTCGAATCAGCCCTAATTTGCTTTTCCCGCCATACACAATTTGCATATGTCGAGTATTCCAGTTTTTAACTCCTCGGGAAATTCCAATACTCATGGTTTCTTAAGAGTTCCTCAATTGTAATGTCTTTAATTTCAACATTCGTCCTTCACTTTAATTTAATGATAGACAATTTTCAAACAGAAACTTGCTAGGGAGGGTTTTTCTACAGCTGTAAACAAATTCATTGCTGAGCTTTTTTATTTGTTTCAAATGCTAGTGACATTTCTATTCAATTATCAAATTTGAGTCACTTTCGCCGAAAAAATGTTGCGGTCATCATCGTGTAAACGTGCTAAAATTTGCATCATATCTAGCTTGTAGCACTTATATTTTAATCAAAGTTATAACTTTTTTACTTTTGGTCTAAATTTTTTCCATTATTTATTTATTTTATTTTTAAAATCCTTTATGCAGGGTTACAATTCAGTTTGAATAACTGTTTTACAGTATTCACTGCAACTGAAAACAAAAATAGCCTATCACAACAATCGTCTAAGCCTATAAATATACGAAACACCTTGTAGTTAAAAATTGAATAGGAAAACGAAAAATTTCAACCAGCTTTCCTTGAATATTTTCAAATATGAGCTTTGAGTTTGGTTTCAAATGACTGGATGGAAGGAGTTAATTTGATATCAGAATGGAGTTTGTTCCATGTATCAACTCCGCGGAAAGCAAACGACTTTTGACCACAAGCTTTTCTCTCATATAATATTTTTAAATGCCAATTAAATTTGCAACCTGCAGAAAAGTTTCATATAGCATGATTTTTGGCTCAAGGTTGATTTTGAATGATTGATTGAGGCACGTAAAAAGTATATGGTCTATATGTACATGTAAGCTTTTGCAAAGCTACGTTTTATTCTGAAAAAGAAGTCCATAAAACAACAGTTTAACATCAGCTACACTGATAGGAAGAAAGATGGAAAATTAATCTTTCAAAGGTGCTCTGACAGATGTCATCTGAAAACATCTCGACACGACACGACACTGACAACTGACAACTCGTGAAACACACAGCTCACTTCTAGTACAACTCACAACTCGCAGCTGACAACTCGCAACTGACAACTGACAACTAGCAACTCGCAGCTGACAACTCGCAACTGACAACTCACAACTCGCAACTCGCAGCTGACAACTCGCGACGTCGCAAAATATAATCCCTCTCGCGACACGCCCACAACGGACACTTCCTGTTGATGCTGGCAAATCAGTAAATTCAATTCCTTCTCCTGTATAGAAATTTGATGGAACATTCGTAGAAATCGGGAAAATCTCCATGACTAAGAACTAAATTGAAACTGCTGTAAGGGCGTGTTTAGACAGAACATGACAAGAACTTAATGATATATTTCCTGAAACTGATTTATTTACCGAGAGTACAAAATATAAGAGTTGTGCTGGGAACCAGAAAATGTTACAGGCTTTGGCAAAAAATTGGGGAACCTTAGAGGGAGCCAGTTTATCAAGAAGTTGTAAAGAAAAGTTTAAACATTTCGAAATTTACTCTTAGAAAAGCACCTTTTGGTTGTTTTAGACTCTCGAATAGTTCAAGTAAACTTCAGGGCAAGGAATCAGGTTTCCACTTTTCTGGCTAAACTTATTCGTTCGAAGATGGTAGCCTTGGCTAGACCAAAGTCTTTAAAATTATACCCTGGCTAGACTAGCCAGGGCCCGCGCCACAGGGGGCGGCGGAGGGGGCCATTCCCCCCACTTTTTGCTAACTATAGGTATTTAATCCCACTTTTAAGCATTAAATAGGAAGCCCCCCTTTTGGCCCCCCTCCACTTTAGAATCTATGGCGCGGGCCCTGCTAGCAGCAAAAAACGATTCCCTTGGCTAAAAATCGTTGTTTTAGTCTCAGAAATATGCAAATTTATCTCATATTTAGGGTTCACAGCTGGTTGATCTGTCAATGGTTTCCAAAAAATGGATTGTGATCGGAAAAAGCCACAGTCTAGTAAATTCTCTGCAAAAAATGCTTTTTAACTCTCTTTTATTAAACTTTGTTCCGGTACTTACATTTTAATGTCAATATATCCTTGTACAATTAAAGACTTACCATTTACCGTTCATACCATTTGTTGCATTGGAAATTGTTCTTCGAAAAAAAAATTGTTTTTCTGAGTTTTTTCAAGAATGAGATCATGTACAATCGAAAACACTCTAGATTTACGAAAAAGATTTGTAGCGAGAATGAATTGGCCAATTCAACCAAGTAAACAAGTCTGCGATCTTAATTAAGCTTCAAATAAATAACATTTTCTTGAGGCAATAAAGTAGCCATTGGTTAATGAAAATGGTTAAATATACTCAACATTTCGTGATGGAAACAATGAGATCGTAAAATTTGTGTTAGAGGGATTAAGATAACAGTGACTTTGAGCAAAAACCAGCAGAACATAAAACCAATTCATTAGGAAACGATGACCATCCAATTAATGTCTTTATTAAGCAACATAAGTTAATTGTATATATAAATCATCTTTAACATAAATCACATAAGATCTGAACAGTAAATCGGATGTTTTGCCGTAAAAGGAGATTAAGTTAGGTTGCGTTCCCTGTCTGAATAAGGTTTGCTAGAACAGGGAAATAATGAATAGATATGAGTCATGTACATTCTGAGAAAGGTATGAGGTCATACCAAAAATATAGAATGGAATGCTAACTATTCAAGTTTTTATGCTTGCTTCAAAATTTGTTACTTCTAGTATGAGGCCAAAACAGGGGGCATTTAGGGGCTGCTTACATGGAGCAAGCTGGCCTGGTTAACCGAGGAGGGAGCATACTTTGTGTTTAGCAAAATTTCGATTACACGGGGAACGGGGAGCCCGGTTAGACGGATACTGTCTTCTTCCTACAGGCTAGCCCGGTAAAGTGAGCTGCAATTTAATGTTTTTGCTCATGTAATCGATTAAAGTCGGGCCAGCCATTCTCAATATAATCGATTCAAGCCATATATGTTAGAAAGTCGTAGCTCGGATGACCGGGTAAGCCCTGGCAACCGGGCCAGCAGGTTCGATGTATAAGCACCTTAGAAAAGGGTAAGAAGAGTCTTAAGCCCCATAAAATGGGTAAGCATTTCTGGCATGAAATATCGGAATAAACTTTAATCGGACTTTTTTTGACGGATCAGCTGTCCTTGGCTTTGGCAAATATGAAATTCTAAGCATACAGTGTGCAGACGGGAAATATTATATGCAGTCACTGAAGTTTGAAAGTCCTTCATTTGCTCACCATAAACAACATACAGATCTATAACAGAATAATTACAGAATAATCTGGTGCCTGTCGTTTTTACTCTGGGACTCCATTAGGAATATTTCCAATAGCTCGAGGAGGCCAAAGCGGGCCTAAGAAGGGCCTAAGTAGGGCCTAAGAAGGGCCTAAGAAGGGCCTAAGAATGGCCTAAAAAGGGCCTAAGAAGGGCCTAAGAAGGGCCTAAAAAAGGCCTAAGCGGGCCTTATTGGCCAGCTTATCTGTCATATGAGGGTGTCTCTCGTCGGCACTTTTCAATCCACTCGGTATACATTTCCTATCCCTTTAATCGCATTTCTTACTCTCTATCCGATATTTCATATTCTGAGGAGTGTTTGATGAAAAGTTTTGGGACCATCCAATCAAACCGTCTTGGCAGGGTTCAATGTATATATATATATCAAGGCTCAGGATATTTTTGCTGTTAAAATCTAGCATCTTGGTGTATAAACATCTATAAAAATTTTAAACAATAGTTAAGACATACATATAAAAAGCTATAATCTTACTCTGGCTAGCAAAAACAATTAACATGTTTAGAATGGATAAAAAGGTGAAAGACTATGAAATGTTCGTATATAAGAAACAGTTATTACCCGGAGAACCTATGTACGTTGGACACCTTCAATGTAAAACCATATTATTCTAAAAACTCTATGAATTATATAATTAAAGTTTCGATCATTAATCATCATCATCCCCATCGCTCAATATTTCACTTTCTTTCCGTGAATCTCTTTCAGTTTTGTCTTGTCTCATCGTCTCAAATTCACGCAGCTCAGCCTGCAAATGAAATTTATCTCAGGTTTACTCCAGAACATTCGTTTAATAGCCTCACTAGAGGCTGGAGGGTTTAAGAATTATGTCGAACAATATAAAAACATATTTTGAAACTAGAAGAGTAACGACTTCCTCAATAAACCATGTAAAATAATCTTTCAAACAATTTTTAATAAACCACCATAAAGCCTTGTGCAAATAATGTTTAGCAGAAAATGAAAATGTCCGATTAATTGTACAACTGTTGGAATAACTTTCTCTTTTTTTTCTGAATGATTTCAGAATAATACAAAATGGAATTCCAAATAATGACGTCACAAGTAGATTCTGAAAGAACACAATGAAATTCCTCCGCAAGTGAGAAAATTAGTTAATTTTTTTGCAAATTTGCTAAGATACTGTTAGTGGCACTGGGGCACTTTGTGAGACAAAGAGTTATACCACGTTAAAATTTTGGAACTCTACGTTTCCTTACATTCCCTGAACCTTGTTATCCACCATCAGAGAAACCCACGACACAACTCAACCCAATAGAACAACTTTGATTACTTGAAAAACAACGTACCTCTAATTTCGGTTTGTGGTATGCTCTTTTGGTCATAATGTTTTTCTTTGGGAAAGGGTTCATTTGATGAAATGCAATCTGTGACACCCGATGGGGGCTTGTCCGATGAGAAGGCAGCCGACGGAAATAAGCGAACACCTCTGAACAGTCTCTAAACTTGAGTAGGTCTTCCTCACAGCTTTTGAATATGGCAAGGGCATATCGGAAAAGTACCTGCGATTAAAAACATACGGAGGTGAGAATACAGACTTTGACATGATTTTTAAACTGAACTGTGCAAGAATAGATGAGGAATGCGGAGCTTATTACAGATTGTGGGGGCTAAAATGTTTTTTTGGGGCTAAACATGCTAAAAATCACGAGCAAGGTGATTTTGTATGGGTTTAAGTACATTTCAAAAATTGTTGGGGGGAGATTAAGCCCCTCAGCCCCCTCTCTTTCACGTTCCCTGAGAAACAGCACGGCCTATATCACTATATTTAAGTTATCATCTATACCGGAGATAGCCGAACTTATGTCAAAAACTAAAATCAAAATGAATCCGGAAACCAGGGGCAAAGCTAAAGAAATTTGTTAGGGGAAGGGGCAGATCCCCAGATTTGCCCGAAAACATTGCGTTTTCGACGGAGGCAAATGTCCACACTAGCCTATGATATCGCAAATGTTTGTTCGGAGTGAATTTACTTGCATTCGGGTAATTTTGAAAGTTTTCATTTTCTTGCTCTCGCAGAACGGATTGCCATTCTGTTTTTTATGCCAGACAAGATTTATGCCAAACAAGCAAAACTGCTAAGGGATACTTCACATACAATGCCTTCTCTAAGGGAGCGGTCATAAAGTTTGACCGGTAATAAGGTGGAAGCAAACTTACAAGGGCATGAAATTTTCTGAGGATAATTGGGGGGGGTGTGGTAGAATTTTTTTGGGAAAAGATTTCGGTTATGAAATCGAATTATTGTTTTTGAAAAGTGATCTCGAATTGTCAGGAAGCAACGTTATTTATGTTCTATAGCTCCTCAAAATCAGAAGAATCAGATTCGATTTCATATCAAATCAGAAGACATTTCTTTGCAAAAAAGGTGTCCCATGTTTTCTGGCAAAAAGACATTAAATGATAAAGTTCAATATTATTTTACCCAATTTCTTGTTAAAATGATAAACTTCAGCTTGGGACAGTTGTCAATAGGACAGAATAATAAACAATTCTCGAGAAGATTTAAAAGTAGGAGTATGAAATAATTTTGCATATTTTCATGGGTTTTTGGAAATTTTTTTAAAGTTTTTCCGTAGGATTTAAAATTTTTGGGGCTTTAAATGATTTAAATGATTTGCTTCTGCCCTTGAACCCGTCAGACATAGTTAAAGCTCCCTAAAACATTGCTGAAACCAAGCCAAAACAAAAGACTTATTTTTCTCAAAACTGTAGTTGAACTTTGCTCCCTATGAAACTAAAACCACAGTGCCTCTAGTCGGGAAGTCCCTTCAATTACAATCAAATCTTTACCAATGCCACTCTTCGCTTAAATGGTTTCCACTTTCTGTTTTACAAAGACATGAACACGCCGTCAACATTAACCCAGTGTTCTCTCAAGCCCTGAATAATTACTTATACAAAATTTGATGCATTTTCGTTTTTGTAGTTAATACAAAGCAATGGCCAAAGAAAACCATGCAGGCGTCGGAGTCAGACAAATTCAAAGCTATCGTACAGAAACTGAAACAAAATAAATGGTAATTGAATGATATATACTAGGGAATCAATAAACTTATTCATTGACATGCAAGATATTGTAAAGCTATCATCGGCATTTCAGATCAATACCATGATTAATTACTGCTAAAAAATGGCTATTACTCAGTCCACTTCAACATAAGCTCGATCTATTGAATTATTATATCATGGTAACAAAATATCCTCACATTTTTCATTAGAAAGCAGCAAGCTAAATCTGCCCTTACGACACAACACAAGGCTACTTTAGAAAAAACACCAAACGATCATCGCAATACAACACAAGAAAGACTTCCAGAAAACGCATCAGCTCATTTTCTTCAAAGCTTTCTACTGTAAAATATACACTAGGCTATTTTAGCTATTGAGCATACCATCAAGAATTGATTTTGCATCTATCAGTAGTCCTATACTCGTATTTACCTTGTTTCCTTCGAATAGAAATGTGTCCCAGACGCGAAGAACGAACTGATAAAAACAAGTATTCAGTCAATCAATCTGCCCGTGGTAAAGAATTTAAAAATGGCTTTGCAAAAAGCAATTATTTTTAAACATTTTAATGAAGCTTTCGTCTGACACCTTTCATATGTGCTCGCGTTTCTGATTGGCCTATTTCGATCCACAAGTGGGTATATATATATTTCCTAGCGTAGAGTTTCATCACTGTTCTGACGTTTTATACTCTGAAGAGTGTCAGACGAAAAGTTTTCATAACATGTTTCAAAATGTTTGCTTTTTTCAAAGCCATTTATATGTTCATACAGAATAAAAATAAAATCAATTTATAGTGTGAAGCTGTTAATGCAAGTTGCAAGATTCTGACACAGAAGGTGGAAACGATTTATTCATAAGATAATATTATTTGATATAGATTTTGATTCTAAACACGAAAAATTAAATGTCCTTTATGATGAAGCGTTAATGGAGGGTAAAGTATTTAAGACAAAGCGGGGTGTTTGGCAATTACTAAACTAGAGTGAATGAATGCATACAGAAAGTTCATAAATTGATATAAAACTTTCCCCAAACTTAAAGGCATTTGACTCGGGTAAAAGTGGCAGAGAAAAACATGTGAACAGTTTCCGCCATACTGCAAATCGGCGAAATCCTAGATCCGCGCACAGTGGTTTCACGTGAGCAGTTTCCAATTCCTTTCACACGCACGTGCTCTGATGAATTTGGCCTAAGTTATTTTTTGATTCGCTGTACTTATGCATGTCAACTGCCGTTAAGTTTCAAAGGTAAAACAGTTATAGAAAGGGAAATTTCTACTTCTCGACGCTTGATAGATAGAAATGGCGTTTGGACGCCCACCAGTCTTGGGTATTTTCTTTTTATGTATGAGAGGTCGACAAGGAATCTTTTTAGAGAATTAAAGGTCGGATTGGGCTTACCTCAATGCGGAAAATATCACCATAAACGACCAGAAACCAATTGAAGGAGAGTAACGACAGATCCACCCTAGAAGGCGATGAGTTTTAAGTCAAAAGGAAGACAAAGAAGTAATCCAATTGTAGCTAAAATATATGCTCACAGAAGCTACTAGAATAAATAAAGATCTGAAGAGAATGTACCCGAAAGATAAACGTATTTCATTCAGAATCGATTGGGACTGTGGGTTTCGGAACACTACAGTCTTGGAAAGAACAAGACAAAGAGGAAATCCAAAATAAGGCAGAGATGATTCCTGTGGTATTAACCAGATGTATTTGTGAAAAAGAGCGGGATTTTCGCACAGCCCTCGCTATGGGAAAAAACACGATAAACTCATTGAGCCGAGATAAATATTGAAACTGTGCCAAACAAAAAAAATATATGTTTATTTCTTGTAAGGTCACCTGTAGGGTTCAGTTTGAAACGGCAGCCAATCGCGGTTGAATTACAAAAAAACGTCGAATTAGTCTTGAGTACTAGCAGAGTAGGGGGGATTAACTCTCAATTAGGTTTGTTGGATTTTGGCTTAGCTTTTTTAATGAAACCAACATGAAATCCAAAATTTTTAAAATATTTGATTATTATTCAAAATAAAGGGAATGTCTAGGCTATGGCAATTATTTGTTCATGCAGCAAAGTGTTTCATTGCTCGAAAACTTGTACACTGGCTAAATCTTTGATTCTGTGAAAAAGTTTCTAAAACAATCTTGTCTAAAAATCGGTATGCTTCATGACAAAATAGAAACATCCCTTGCCGCAAAGGGAAGATAAATTTCGGTGAACATGGTAGTATACAGACTCGGAATATCGTTGTTTGAAATATTTGGCACTAAGGTGGGGTTTCTTTGCTAGTTTCTTGATCACTGACAACTGCTTTTTTTAATAAGAATACTGTATAATTTTTCCAGCCTCGATATTCCTACGATTTTACGCTGCAATATTTCTATAAACAATATTCTTATAAAATAAAAAAGAGTGTACAATAACAAGAGATGCTGACCCTGACCAAACTTGCGATTAGCTTACCCAACGATATGCTTGTGATTGGTTTGCGAGAAAATTCCCCAAAAATTTTGCGATCAACTTACGCGATTAACTTACCATAGCACTGACCTTCACTCTCAAACTATGCCTTTAAAGCTATTTAAATGCATTGTCTTTGATTTGATAACAATGTTTTATTCTTAAATAACATTTTAAACTCTGATTTTACGACAAAGAACTACCGTGGTTTTATGCACAACTATCCTTTAATGAACAACACACTTTGCTCAATTTAGAAACAAATACCATTTCTCTTGGCTACAGTTAAAAGAAGCTTTGTACGTTCAATCATCGAGCCAGAGCTAGTTGAGAAATAATATAATATTGGAACGAATTGAACGAAATATGATTGACAGTTGGTTTATGGTTTTGAATTGAATAACACACTTAAGCATTTAATAACACTCACCCTAAAGTCTGGAACATCTGTGATAACTTTGGCAATTTTTCGTCAAGTAAATCTTTTAACACTCTCTGCAAATAAATCGAGTTGCTACGTTTAAACATTTAGGTTAAATATCACTCGAGTCAAATATGTTTTTTCGTAAAAAATTTGCGCAGCGGACAAATTTTAATCGTAAATACAACTCTTTATCATCTGTTCAGCTTTGTACTCAGACACATTTATAACACATTAAAAGCTTATATTTATTGATGCCCTATCTATAAATAAAATCGTTATTCATAGAATGCTAAAAGAAATGCTCAAGGAGAAATTGCTAAAAGAAAGTTTACCAAAATATCAGAAATACGTACGCAGCCTATGTTAGTTGTATATGACATACGTGTAAGAATATATATAATTTTCTGTAATTAAGCTCCAAGTCACCTGATCAATTTGTGCGCCAATTAGAGTGCTTCCGTAGTAGTCTGGAGGCATCAAATGCTCTACGATGGCTACTAGGCACCTGATTCAACAAAACAGTAATTCTTTGATGTATCATATTCAGAGAAATACACACGCAAATGCTAGAAAAGATCTGATAACATGCTACCTGGATTATCCTTGTCTATTGAAAGGATTGGTTATTTGATTCTGTTCAACGGCTTGTTTGGGCCCTGAGACACCTGCTTGAGTCAATCAAGGATGTACAAAGCAATCGAAATAACAGTGTGCTTTGGAGGCACTTAGGAGGGGCATTGACATTGGGGGAGGGGTATTGGTATAGAAGGGTATTGGCAACAGCTTTTTAAATTAACTTGGTCAGCTCAAATATTCCCAAGAGAACTAACGTTCCTAGCAAAAAAAATCCAAATAGAGTTCATAGAAGGAAATTAGGGACACAACAATGTATTTTATGTGAAGAGGCACATTCAAAAGCATTCCAGCTTGGTAGTGGTGTAGTGACCGGTGTTGGCGCCCTGGGCCAAAAGAAAGCGCCACTTTTACCCTGTTGTCCCAGAATTCTCCACATTTCATGAGCTTTTATGCTCAAAGTATCTTCTTTATTGTAAATGGCAAAAGGGTGCTTTAACTGGTCAATGAAGCTCCACTTGAAGAGTCTGCATATGAGAAAAATTTCATATTGAATGACTAACCAAAATGCATCTTCTTCATTCAGGTAAAGCAACGCAATGGCTCCAAGACGATTCAGCCCCTGCATAGAGAAATGACCGCACGAGTTGCAAAGAGTATTGGTGTGAGTACTTACAATAAACAGCAAAGTGATACCCAACGAAAAAAGGTATGAGAACAATTTTGATCATAGGAGTCCCATTATGATTGGTCGAAGCCCTGCCTAGAAATCAACAATCACCTCTGGTAATGAACTAACAAAAATGACGGAAGTAAAAACGTTTTTCTACGTTTCCAATGAAACACCACGCTCATAACTCTGATGTAAAAAGTCTGGGTGTCAATTACACTTAAAAGTTCCTGAAAATTCCATATTAGAATTAGTAGAAAATAAAATGCAATTTTAAAATCTGTTTTTTGAAAATAATTTTTATGTTGATGCTTGCAATCTCTGCCGTCTCAAACATGACGTATTCATGGTGAATGAGAAATTATACTACAATCCAGAAAAAAACATTCCGGTCACTTGGTTGTGTTCAAGTGAAAAAATTACAAGGTTGAAATACCTGAACAAAATGGCATCTAAAAAAGTACCTGACAATATCCAACATTTGGGTTATGCCAACTGAAAGCCAAAAGAACATTTCGCAATTTGGCAATCTAAGACAAAATCAGGAAGAATTGTTATGTACTGCATAAGTGGGTTAGCAACATGAGATTATTTAACTAGCTTCAGATAAGCACCTTTCTTAGTCGGAAATGTCAGGGAATGGCGAGAGAGCCCATAGCAAAACCCAAACAAAGGGAAAGTGGGAGGAGCAAAAAAGAGGGGGAAGTAGTATCAGGTTTATTGGTGTATTTTGAAAAATAGACAGGCTTTAAGAGTCTAGGGAGCAGGAAGAAGGTAGAATGATCGTGAAGAAGAAGAGGAAAGAGAGTGAATTTGACAAGGAACTTTGGAATAGTGAGCAATTGAAAAGCCTAATATTAATAGCATGCCAAACATCAAGGTCCTTATACAGTAGGAATGACCAAAGCCCCTGGTAACTGAAGGCAAATAGGCATCTATGGGACTCCGAGTCAACAACAGATTGGCAAAGAACTTTGATTACTTACGATGTATAAACTCATATCGTAAGGAAAAATTTTCATAGGGTGAAATTATTGTTATAAAATAAAACCGAAATTTGACTCCCTACAGCACTATGTCCAATACTTTCAATCGAGTTATAAATTCTCAAGAATATTCCTAGGCTCTGAATAGGGGACAACGAGTTTTGAAAATTATTGAAATCTTACCCCCGGTGAGTCCATGTTGACATAGAATTTGTTATTCGGCAATGTTCGCAGCAAGTCAAGCTCTATTTGCTTGGAAGCGGGGGTGTAACTACTCTGCTTGTCTTTTAAAAGAGAGTGGAAGTATCCGGGTCCAGCAACCTTGCGTTCATGCCTGACGTAATGATTAACCAAACCAAGCCAGACTCTCGCCCGGTATTCATGAGGTATGCCTTGTCGCACAAGACCTTTTACTTCTTCCTATAAACAACAAGATATGAGTTGCGAAAAACCAATAATGTACTTTCACCTTCAGCTTAAATCTACCCCATGCTACAGCGAACTTATTGAAATATATCTGGATAAGAGGAAGAATCCTTAATGAAAAAAAAATCTTTAACGCTGGATTGCTGTATTGGGCTGTGCACTAATTCTGTATTTTAGGATAACATCATGTCAAAAACATGACTCAAACTAAGCCTTTTCCTTTAAAAGACAAATTTGCTTTTTCATCTTCTTCACCAAAGGCTCAATACAAACTCTTTTACAATACATGAACGTTCTTATCAAGGACATGAATATATTTCGCTTTACATGCTGCCTCCTTTGCAACCATATAATCTCTGTTACATTTGGACCCAACTGTTGGCGATTTTTTTATGATTGCAAAGAAATCGCCTTCGCAACGTTTACATTTCAATAAAGCAAGTAAACAAAAACAAAACTTTGAAGACCCATTTTGATGTTGCGTCACTTGGACCAAGTCCTCGCTAATTGTGATATTAGAAAATATCACATTACAGAAAATGATGATTCGGTCTCTTCCGTACCGTTTTCTCAATCGGTTTTGTGCCTTGTGCAAGAAGAAAGGCTTCCCATCTATCTCCAACAGAAACCTCATTCAAACCAGTCTAAAATGAAGCATAAATCATTGATCAATTCGAGCATATTCTTCAGTTTTACGTAAAAACGGAATCTGAAAGGTGCTCAGTCTCATTACCCTGGGTACCGGAGCCACGTAAATTCGAGCACGGGAATAGAAGATAGGAGTGGAGACCGGCTAGACACTCCTCCGCAGATCCGCTTGGTTTTCTATTTGCGTGCTCGAAATTTTATGGCTCTGGTACACAGGTTATATTTTCATATAAACAATTAACATATCTAAACCTGACAAAAGCTAATACACAAAATACTGCAGAATTCTAACTAAGATAGGTTTCTGAATAAAATGAATGATTTTTATTTCTGACTTTAAGTTCATCATATTTTAACTTCGTCAAATAAAATTGGGCCTACTCTTGTCTCTAACAACTTGTCAAAGAGCCCCTCCTCGGCCTCTGTGTCGCTGCCTTCGTAAAAACCATACCTATCAGCAAGCCTAGAATACAACGTAGTGTAGGTGAATGACTGAAACTCGTATTCCATTAATCATTCCGAAACTCGCATGCCACACACTTGGTAGGGAAGGGAGAGGAGGAGGTTTCTAAGGGTTTATGTAGCCTGTAAACGTCCAAAATCGTTATCTGTTAGCACATAATGGTAAAAAAATTCCATCAGAAATAAATTATGAATTCAAAACATTTTTGCAAAGCTTTTTGACACCTTGTATCGCTTCTTCAGTGCTACGACGTGACAAAATAGCTATCGTAGTTAGATTTTTGCTCACCTTAAGGTCAGTGCCTAACATTTATTCGCAAAGCAGAGTCGGATGAAAGGAATTTTATTATACAGACAAGTCAGAATCGGGTTTCGTAAGATGCTAGCTGATTTTAGCAAAAAATTGGAATTCTAGCTCAATTATACAAAATGAGATGAAAGAAACTAGAAACTAAAGATCTGGTAGGGCAAGTAGCTACAAAGGGGGGTGTTAATTGAAATAGCAAGGGAATACAAGCATCACAAATTCATATTGCATGAGAACAAGAAAACAAGTTTGTACTTAGGAGAAGTTGGGGATTTCTGCTGTCCATCAGCCGCGTAGGTTTGGTTGATCAAATTATCCAGCGCGTCTTGGTAAATAAAAATAAATCGAAATAAAAATACATTCAAGCAATTTGAAATAATGCAGATCAAAGTAAACTTTCAGCTCATATGTCAAAATTGAAGTATCATTAAGTCAGATCACGAATTAACTCAGAGAAAAACAGGGAAGAACGAGAGATTTATCTCCGTGACAAGATAGTACTATTTAATAATTTCGTTCTTCAGAATTGCTGTTTGCAATTTCGCGAATACTGAAGAGATTGAAAAATCGTCAGAGTTGCTAATACCTCCTGGAGATGCCGATCGCTCATTCAGCAAAACAGAATAACGACTTCTAATCTTGCACAATTGTGCTTCCAACTCAACGATCCTCCTGTCATAACAAAACAAATTCTCTTTTAATACATTCAAGTTTCAAAACTTGATTTTTAATATGAATCTTCAGAAAAAGGGTAAGTGAAACCGAATCTGAGTGAGGGAATCTAATTCTTCTAAAAAACTCGCTATAGTTGACCCAACCCTAACTCATACCTGCTTCCCTAAGAATTACACCCCACCCTTTGCAATTGTACCTAGGCTCAGATTGTTATGATGAATTGTTACATACTTCTTCTTCAATTTCTAAAGTCTCATATTCTATCTTTTCATACCAATCGTAATACCCTTTCGTGAATGCGAATTAACTTTGAATTAGTTGCCTTGTCATTAAATATCCATATAAGAGCACAATAATTAAAAATGCAAACTGATAAAGGAATTCATTAAGAATTCTCGTTTGAACTACTGATTTCCAATTAAAAAACAAGTAGTTTCTGTACACAAAGCATATATCTTACGCTTCTCTATCCTTGATGATGTCATTGTCAAGCTTTCTCAAGCGTGTCAGCTCCAAAATCTCACTATTGAGCAGTTTGTTTTGTTCCACATACGCGTTGCACTTCTCCTGTAATGAAAGCACAAAACAGCCTTAACACACATGTTTAGGAAAGCAGTAAAATAAACTACATTGACATGCAAAAGAAACAATGCATGAACATCAATCACTCGCTGCTTAGCAAAAATAAGTGGAGCAAAAGATTTAAAACAAAAGATTTAAAGATTTTCAAAATATCAGGAAAATAAATCTCGGTGATTTTCTGCACCAGCGGTGGAACAATTCTCGATAAACCTCTTAGAAACTGCAAACTTTCTCAATCAATCCAAATAGAGAACATGATTGCGGTAAAATCTATCATCTTCCTAATTCAGGGGTGTCTGACATACGGCCTTCGGGTCAGTTCTGGCCAGCGATGGAATTTTCTGTGGCCCTTGCTAAGTCAATAATTTTTTAAATAAATTGACCCTTTAGTTATGTCTTTGGAGTGCCATCCCGCTAAAATTTTTATGATTCATTTAAGGCATACTTTCTCATTATTAGACATTTTTTCTCATAATTATAAGCAGTAGTAGTTTCTATTACGAAGCTGAACAGAACAAATCGAAGCTACAATCTAAGCATACAGAGAGACATGTCCGCGACTCTTTTAGCCCATCTCTTTAAGTTTAATGTGTGAAGTGGAAAAACTTTCTGCAAAATGTAGTATTTCGCATTGATAGGTTTCTCATGTAACAGTTTTTATAACTTTTCAGGTAATTTTTCATGTAAGTGTTATTACTAATCCATTTACTGTTTATTACAAAATTTACCGATGTTTCATATGATTATTCATCTGGCCTGCCTACGCACGGCTATATCAGAGTCCTACATTAAATGTATGCGAAGAGAACTAGCCATCCTAACACGTCATACTCTGAATAAGTGGCCTTTATAAGAGTGGATTTTGTGTATATCGAAATATCAGAGATGTCTTATTTTGTAATATAAGAAAAATCTCATTTTGTACTATCAGAAACATTTTTTAAGTATATGATATCTACTTTCAATTGGTCTTCAGTTTCTTCTTGTTTCAAGGGACTCTGCATTTCACTGCAACAAACAAACGTTGAAATAAGATCAGCAATCATATTCAGAAATATTGAGCAAAATAAATGAGATGTCAACATTTTGCAAAGAAGTTTCGAATGATAGATTAGGACCAACTAATGTTGTTTTTGTGTTTTGAAACACTTGCTGGTAAGGAATCGAAGCATCTTTTAAACACCAAACATTGTTCGTGATACATAAGCCGACATATGGGCTGGATAATTGACTTAATTTCGGAAAAAGAATGTGAAAGCATGAAATTTATTTTCCAAACAAAATGGAACAATCGCAATGCAGATCATCCTACCTGACCACTGGAGTCTCTTCGGAGGCGTCCTCCGCAGTTTCAGGATGTTCGATTGTAAAAATCTATCAAAAATCAAATATCTGAGTAAATTCAATCATCGCATTTGAAGATGGTGGAATGTGTAAATCTTGTATTTATAAAGTATCATACTTCATTTAAATTTCAAAAACCCACGATTGTGGTTACGGGATATAAATTCAAAGGACACTGTGAAAACAAAGCTTTTGCAAGTTTTCCAGCTCTTAATTTTGTCTATTTAATGCCAATTGTTGTGCCAAGAAGCTTCATCAAAATATTTATGTTCAAAATAGGTCGTCTATTTATTTCATTAACCACATAGTGATACATAAATATATACCGTATTTCCTCTAAAGAACGCCGTGACGTTTATTACAAAATCCAGCCTTTTTGGTTCGGCGTTTATCGGAGGGCGGCGTTTAAAACAAACGGTTAGGTGACGGCGCGGCGCTCAATAGAGGGCGGCGTTTATCAAAGGGCGGCGTTCATTAGAGGAAAAACGGTAAGCAGTTTTACATTTAAAAAGAAACGAAATATATGCCAACGTACCTGATTTGTTAAGGCTACTATTTCACTGTCTTTATTTGTAATCATTTCTTCTAAAACATTATTCTTTTCCACCATTTCATCAATTTTATTATTCTTGTCACTAAAATGAAGCTTTTTGATAAGAATTCCGGCGACTTGATTCACAAAAACAATAATTATGACAGAAAATGAAAAGAATATAATAAGCTACGATAAAATAAAGAAAAATATACTATAATAGATCGTGATAAAAATATGGCTAAAAATATCATATATTGTACAGTATTTTATCACAATAATACTGATTAAACTTACTCTAGTCTTATTTGCAAGTCTTCGTTTTCTTGTTTCAATTTTTTTAAAATGTTCGACAGCTAAAATAGAAAAAAATTATGGATGAGCTTCTCTGAAGAATCGAGATAACAGAATATACTGCAGCTCGTATGAGAAGAATAAAAGACTAAATTGAATCATAGTCCCACAAGAAAAATTTCCCCTTAACAAGCCTTAACAGTAAAATTTATTTCATCACAAAATAGTCTTTTAGATTTGTAAAACTTATTAACGCGACAATGGCGTACCTTTTCGATATAAAGGTCTTTTTCTTCAAGAGAATCGGGATCCATTTCAGCTCTTAAATTTGAAAAGAAAAGAAAAATACACAACACAGTAAAGAGAAAAAAAGAACTTTTCATTTAGAATTGAAAATCATATCAAATAATTAAAAGAAATAATGTCAAAGTAACGAGAAAATAACAATTGGGAAAATATTTTGAAAGGCACTCATTAACACATAATTTCCGCAAGGAATATCGCGTTAGATTAAGATTGAAGTGAAATCGGCATTTTAAACTATTATTTTTAAAAATTGTAACTTTATTTAACTAACCCCGCTAAAAGGGAATTCATGTGTGTAATGAACTATTAAAATAACGAGTGCTCCATGTCGTATAGGCAGAACTGAAAAAGTTTAGGTTGCAGAATAGGACAACAAAGATGATCAGGCAACAGTATGAAGTGTACTATATATTTATATGACTACGTGTCTGCTCCATGAATTCTGCTTAACGAATTCTAAGTAAACACAATCGTTTGAACACGTTCTCAGTCTAATAAACTACCAAAAAAGAGAGCAACGTTCTAGTTTTCTTGAACCTTACTCTAATAAATATCAAATCTACATCATTGTGAATATTTCAAATCATGTAGAAAATATCACTACAACCCTTCAACAAAATCAAAGATTTCTCTACATACTTTGTTCCCGTCGGTGATTTATTGGTGACCTCATATCTACAGATGAAAGAAGCGAGAACATTTTAGCCAAAACTAAAGCAACAATCAGTTTACACTAGGTTTAAAATTTGAAAACAACAGAACTTCACAACTTCAAGCACTGATGTATAGTAAAGTATATTCTGTGCGCTTGTCACCCTTCTTTCGAAGATCAGAGGAAAGAAAGGCCATAAAAAGAAAGAAAGAAAGAAAGAAAGAAAAGAAGGAAGAAAAAAAGAAAGAAAGAAAGAAAGAAAGAAAGAAAGAAAGAAAGAAAGAAAGAAAGAAAGAAAGAAAGAAAGAAAGAAAGAAAGAAAGAAAGAAAGAAAGAAAGAAAGAAAGAAGAAAGAAAGAAAGAAAGAAAGCAAAAAAAGAAAGCAAGAAAGAAAGAAGAAGAAGGAGGAAAGAAAAAAAGGCCCACACTAGAAATAGGGAGAAATCTTGAAAAGTTGAACAAAATAACGACAAGCCAACATAGTATAAAAGAATAAAAAGTCTGAAATCCAATTCATTTAAAGAAAGAACGTTTGAAGCAAAAAATTGACAAGATTATGAAATATGTGATCTATTTTTCTCACACAGCGTACATAGGGGAACTAATAAATCACCAAAAGAGCTTGCTATTTTAAACCGCAGTGACCAAATTTAGATGCTGAAAACAGGCATTTGATTAATACCATACATGCGAGCGCACACATTTTTCTACATGTAAAATGTAATGCTTCATTGCAGTTATCGGTTTTTCAAATCTTCCCAAGCGACCTATTTAGATCGGGCTTCGTATACATCCCGCAAAACGCTCGGTAATTGTCTGACGAGACGCCATATAAGAGTTTGAATGTTTGCGGAAAAATCACCAAAAAATATTCTATCTATCCTTGAAAAATTTGAAAAATAGACTTTAATAGAGACCTTAACCTTTTTAATGACAATGAAAGAGATAATCAGAAAGAATATTAACCGGAATCTGTTCGTGCAAACTCTTCGTATGAGTCGTTCAACGTGTGCGAATCTCTCTATGAAAAACGAGATATTTTCTATATAAACTTTAAACATGAGTTAAGTCTATTCGGGGATACGGTAAGGAGATACAAAGAGACCTTATCTCATGCATAAAATCGTAGCAGTCAATTTGTAGAAAAAGTGACCTGGACGAGCAATTATACCACTTCAAAATATAAAGTAATTTGCAAACTATCACAAATAATCGAGAAAAAACTTAGAGAAACATATATGAGAAGAATAAGCTTCTAGAAATAGGCAACAAGAGCAACTTCAACGGAATAAAGAAAAGATTTTTTAACAAGTTACAGGAAAAGTATTAATCTAAGCTAGCAATAACATTTCAAAGTACCAGAGGCATGTTGTGCAAAATAGTAATTATTTCTCATTATTTCCGTCCATTTATTTCTCCATTTGCAAGAACCTTAACTTTTCATAATGCTGTTTTTTGCGAGCAAAACCAATGTTTTCAGATCTGATCAATTTAGGGACTGATTTCCTGTAAAAACTTGACCTAAAAAGCAATCTTTCCATAAAATGAAAGCATCCGTTGTACATTTCTGTTCTATGGTTTAAAAGCAATACATACATGTATTTATATTGCGTTATGAAAAAGTTTCTAATAGATCGCTTGGGCTATATAAAATCCGAAAAATAGCAAAGTTCTAAACAATTAGCTTGAAATTGTCTTACTTTTCGGCTAATTTTATGCTTCCCTTTCAGAGTTTGAGAGAATTGGTTTGAACTGCAAAGGAAAGTTGATAAAAGATTAATCCGTCGCATATACAATGAACGTCAACGCTGCTGAGGCCACAAAATGTTCCATAGCAAATAATTAAGAAAGTACAAAAAATAGCATAGAAATGTTTATGTTTTTATTAGCCAAACCCCATCCAAGCGTATACGGCAAGCATATTTTTAGGCCTTCCCTGTACCAAAACGCCACGTTTACAGAAACTGAAAATCACTTTGAAGATTCGATGAACTTTTTCAGATAAGAAAAATGAATAATATGAAATGTTAGATTTGTGAATTCTCTGATAACTTGGCAATCCTCGGCTATCCTACTCTTCGCAGTCTTGAACATGTTTCTTTAATGTCTGCCTGATCCACGGAAACTGATTGTGTCCCCAAAAAGTACGTCTACAAAGAAAATGAAAGACAGAAATACCTAATTCCTGTTATGATATCTCTAAGAATTGGGGATTATAGGCGTTGTGCCTGTAGTCAGTTATCTCCAAACTATTAGACCCAGTCAGTATATAGTACACAAATTTATACCTAAAGGTCGAGACACAACATTAAAATAAAGATAAAACATGATGTTCAAGAAAAATGGTTGCTATGATTCTATAAATGGCCTCAACGCGTGGTCCAGATCTTCGAATTATGTTGAGGGGATGTTTCTCGGCTTGACCAAGATAACCTTACAGTTTCATAACAGAAACATTATGAGGAAAAAACGTAATCAAAAAATAAAACTACCTCTATCAAAGCAGCCGATATTTTTAAGAACCGAAGTCAAACTACATATAAGGATATTCACCAATTAAAGATAAAAGGGTTATATAGGCCACTAAAAGCTTTAGAATATCAAAAATATATTGAAGAACATGCGGGGTAATGTAAAAACACAGAAGATATACCGAAAGTAACTGGCGAGAACTAGCTTAGTACATGTTTGATTGATGCAAAGACCAAAAATACATAGTAATAGCTTCAAACCAATTAGATAAACTGTTCTTAAACCCCCTTTGCAGTTTTGATTCTTATTTGAATTATTTGTTGTTTGAATATCAAATATTACACGGTACTCAACTGATATGACAAAAAATGTCTTTAGGCGTCCAAAGATGAGGGAGATTACACACGTGTAAATTTAGACACCCAATTTATGGAACGAAAGCGAATTGGCAGTCTTTAACGGCCAACAAAAATATGAACCATATAAAGCCAATAAAAGCCAGTATGAAATGGTAACTGTAACCCTCCGACTGGCCTTTAGGCTTTCTTTAAGTTCTCTCAGCTTCACTAAAAATGTAACATATCTAGTGAAAATCTTTTATCTTGCTTACTGGTAAAACAGTAATTACTGGGTGAATTCGACTGGACTAGAATAAAAAAAAAATTTCTTTTAGGTAAACAAAAAAGTGATTGCAGAACAAGTATGCTCTGCGGTAGAGAAAACGAAATACAGTGTTGCTTGATTCCAAGGTTCAAGTCCTTCCCTGTTCAAGTCATCACTCACAATTACTCTCCAATCGCCAAAAAAGTAATGTCACAAACGCCTTGGAAAAAATCAACATATTAACATATCACAAATAGTAAGAATCCAAAAACAATGAAAATAACCAATTTTCTACGAACATCGCAGTGGGTATATGGTATGCTTGTCTAAACAGTGAGTTTGTGCTGGTTGTAACTTAACAGAAAAACCAAGAGAGAACTAAACACAATACCAATTGTTGTAATAAACAATCTTGTGGCAAATGATAAAGAACAGACTGGCTAGCTTGATCTACTGGTTTTTGGTTTCCATTGCCTTTCAAATTAATGGGGAGAAAGAGATCCTAAAAATGAAGAGTTATGATCATCTTTTCAACAGCAATCGAGCGGCAAACTTTTGGCTATGAAAGCTGTTAAGAGACCCTCAGCATTGTCAACTACGTGAAAAGCTGCCATATACGCAAGACTGTACGGAGGAGAGAGGAAAGAAAAGGAGAAGTCCGTACCTGCACTCATCGCTTTTCATAGAGTTAACACGCAGACTACTTCTGACATCAAATTAGAGAATGAATAATAACTTAATA